AGAGAGAGAGCGCGCGAGCGCGAGCCCCTCCCAGTTGCTGACCTCTTAGGAGGTTGGAAGGGGAGTGGTTCCATGGTACCACCCCCAGTTCCCAGGTGAAGGGAGTTAATTGACTGACAGGTAGGCAGAGTAGAATTTAGACCACACCTCTTCCATAACAGCACTGCTGCTGGCTTCTGGAGGGGCCTGGAACATCACGCCCACAGCAAGCCAGACTCACGGATTGACACAAAGGAACGTCAGTCAGGTTAATGCTGGTGCCTGTGGGAACTGTGAGCAGGGTTCTTCCTGCTGATAGCAGACAACAGGTCCCCCGACTCACACACACACACACACACACACTCATACACACACACATGCCACACACACACACACACTCACACACACACACACACACTCATACACACATTATTGTTATAAAAACACTGAATTCACCTTCTTCTTCTTTCTTTTTAATAAGGTTTGTTTATTTGAAGGCAGAGTTACAGAGAGAGAGAGAGAGAGAGAGAGAGAGAAGGAGAGACGGAGATCTTCTATCCACTGTTCAGTCCCCAAATGACCATGGGCCTGGAACTCCATCCAGGTCTCCTACATGGCATATAGGAGCCCAAGCACTTGGGCCATCCTCTGCTGCCTTCCCAGGTGCATTAGTAGGGAACTGAATCAGAAGCAGAGCAGCCAGGACTCCAACTAGTGCCCAGGATGCTGGCATTGCAGGAGGCAACTTAACCTGTTAAGCTATAATGTCGGTCCCAGCAAAAATTATTCAATTAAATATGTAACAATAATATAAATGAGTTAGTGTTGCGGTACAGTGGGTGAATCCCATTCAAGAGGGCTTGGGACTAAGCCCTGGCTCTGCTTCCCAACCAGCTTCTTGCTAATGCACCTGGGAGCAGATGATGCCCCAGGTATTTGAGTTCCTGCTACCCATGTGGGAGGTGTGTATGGAGTTCTGGGCTCCTGGATTCAGCCTGACCCAGTCCTGACTCTTGTAAGTATTTGAGGAGTGAACCAGCAGATGGAAGATCTCTCGCCCTTTCTCTCCTTCTCTCTGTCAATCTTTCAAATAAATAAATACATCTTAAAAAAATACAAAACAATATTTTGGTGTGTTAGTGCAAGCTGCTATAACAAAATATCAGACTGTGTGGCTTAAGCAGTAGAAAATGTACTTTCTCATAGCCCTGGAGGCTGAAGTCCAAGAGTAAGATGTTGGGAAATTTGATGTCTCTCACATTGGCTTGGGTGTGGCTGTCTTCTCACTGTGTCCTAAAGAAGGCAGAAACAACCTCAGTGTTCTAGCAACAGATGATAGAGCAACAAAATGGGATGGACGCATACAAGGAAACAGTATTCGGTCCCAGAAAGGAAGCCTATCCCGATCCATGCTATAACACGGATGAACTGAAAAGTGTTATGCTAAGTGGACCAAGCCAGATGCAAAGGGACAAAAGTGGTACAATTCCACTTACAGGAAAGATCCAGAACAGGACAATTTGTAGGGAGGGACAGAAAGTAACCCAGGAGGACAAACCCTGTCTTAAAGTGATCCTCAAAGCCTTCCTTCACACCTAATTTATTGCAAAGCCTTTTCCTCCGGGACTGTTAGATGCTAGATGCTTGAGGGGACAGTCTCCAATGGGGCAGTGGGCCCTGCCAGTTCCCACACACTTCAAGGAGCCTTGAAGCTTGGATTGGTGGGTCATCTCCAGCCTTATCTGTTTGCAGCTGATAAGAGAAAGAGGACCCTCCCCCCAGGCAGGGGAAACTCACCAACCACCTTGCCACTGGTTCCCAGGCAACCCCTTCACGCTGGGCCTTGTAGATGGCAAACACTGTGGGCTCATCAGGCAGTGAAATGCAAACCCTTTTTTTTCTAAGACCTCTGTGCCAATGATACAACCCTGGGCCACAAAGCCCCAGTGGAGAGCAAGTGACAAGGAGGTGAAAATAGGTTATTGGCAGCTTTATCACCCTGTTCCTCCTCCTGGCTGACTTTAGATCTTAAGCAAACAGCCAGAGAGAGAACATCCCAGGGCTATTTTTGGGCCTGTTGTCTTGCAGGCAAGTGATTCCCTTTGCTTTTGCTAGAGGTTTTTCCATTTAGAAAGTGCAGCTTTTCAAAAGCTTACTCTGCAAGAAGAATAAAAGGATGTCTGAGACTTTAAGACCTCCCAAGAGAAAAGGCTGAAGGAGGAAGTAACTGAGGCAGGACTACTGCAGGCCGATACTTCCTTTTGAACCTGAGCGTATGCACTTGTTTTCCCAGCTTTTGTGTGTGTGTGTGTGGAAGTGTCCATTTATGCAAAAGTTTCATAACAACGGGGGAGACTGGATTTTAGATACTACTTTAAAAGCTTTAATATTATCAGGAACTTTGGCTTCAGTGTCATTCTATAAAATGTGCCATATTAAAACTTGTTTATACAAAGAAGTACAATCCTCTAGCTCATATAGGGTTTTATTTTAGTAAGCAAACACCTCTCAGCTCACTCACAGCTGAATAGAGGTTTCTATTTATTTGAAGCTGTTTGCATATAAATTATGCAATTAGCCAGTAAAAATATTATGCTTTTAAAAGGATATTTATGGATTTATTTGAAAGGCAGAATTAGAGATATGGAGGGAATTACAGGGAGAGAGAAGGAGAGGGAGAGAGAGTGAGAGAGAGGGAGAGAGGGGGAGAGAGGGGGAGAGAGGGGGAGAGAGGGGGAGAGAGAGGGAGAGAGAGGGATCTTCCATGTACTGGTTCACTCCCCAAATGGCTACAATAGTTAGGACTGGGCCAAGCTGAAGCCAGCAGCCCAGAACTCCATGTGAGTCTTCCACGTGGGTGCAAGGGCCTAAGCACTTGGGCATTCTCTGCTGCATTGCCAGATGCCTTAGCAGGGAGCTGGATTGGAAGTGGAGCAGCCAGGACTTGAACCAGAGCCCATAGGGGACACCGGTGTCACAGGTGGCGGCTTTATCTACCATGCCACAACACTAGCATCAAACATCAAGTTTTAAAACACATTTCCCCTTCTCCTCTTAAAGATGCTCAATGAAGCTCTGAGATGTCACTCTTGGCATGTTTTGTGCGCTCAGGTCTGTCGGTCCCAACCTGCAGCTCATAGAACCCATCACTGGGACACCCCCACGGCAGTCAGGCTCACCAAATCTCTTAAAGAAACCTCTGGTCTAAAGGTGTTAGAAATGAAATCAGCATCCAAGAGAAAGCATGCTTAATTTGTGAGTTTTTGTCTTAAAACCACAGGACGTGCTTTGCAGCACTGAGTCTCAGGGGGACCTCTCCGGGTGTGGGGGACAAGGGCTGGTGGCAAGAGCCAGGGCTGGTGACAAGAGCCAGTCTCCTCGTGGGCAGGTGGAAGAACTGAGATTCAGGAGGTACCAGTCAGGACCCGGCCACTGCCTTCTGGGATTCCCCAGAGGCTCCCCAAACAACTGCAGGTGCGGTTCTGCCAGCGCTCAGCACACCCTGCGGGCTTCCCCTCTTACTAGCTGTGCCCTTCTCCGTTTTCCGAGGTCTGTCCAAGCCTCCGTTTCCCACCTTCTCTTTGCGCCTGCCCCGCGGCAGTGCTGTGCTGTAAGGGCACAGTACAGTCACGAACTGCTGAGCTGGGTGCAGAGAAAAGGCCACAGGGTGGCATCTCAGAGAGCACCCACAACCCCCGTGCCCTCTCCCGCTGGGCACCCTCGCCATCTCCAGTTCCCAGAGTAGACAACAGAACAATCTCTGTTTTCCTGTGAAAGTTTTGTTCCCATTAGGGTTTTCTTTCTTTTCAGTGAGAGACAGGCTTTCGTACTGGGTGGCTGATCAGAGCAGGCTTTGGGGGACTGCTGCTGCAGTTAGCATAAAAACACTGGGGAGGAGGGGGAGGATCAGCCTGAGTCTCCACCCCCGAGCTGCTCTCACGGTAGGAAAGGTCCTGCCGTCTCCTCCATGGCTCCTGCCTGTCCCAGCAGGCACCCTCGCCTAACCTGCGGGCTCCGCAGCAGAACGGGCAGATGGAGGCAGCAGGAAGGCAATCTCTGTACTCTCGGCTCATCCGTTCTGCATCCTGATGCAAAGATTCCAGGGCCTGGAGTGACCACCCTGTGGGAAACCAAAGCCGTACAGGCTCGATGTCCTGGCGAGTTGATCTTCAATGCACTGAGAGCAGGTGCGTCGGCAGGAACATGACCCGGAGGCACCAGTTCAGGTAAGGACAGAAGTCCTCCAGACCTCAGAGCCCAGAGCCGGGTTTGAGCACCTCAGATTAAAGTCAGGCGTCCACCACTGCTCCTGTTCAGGTAAGGAAGTGAGCGCTTTGTCTCCAAATCTAAGCCACCACCACATTAATCAAAATACACAAGTCACAATATGATATTCTGTTGCTAATGGCATGGGATCATATATCCGCAATGATCGCATTGTATTTTCATATATGTGAATTTCTGTTCATACTAGTTATGTATATTTTTAAAAAAGAATTATTTATTTGAAAGCCAGAGTTGAGAGAGAGCGGGAGCGCGCGCGCGAGATCTTCCATCCTTTGGATAGGAAGTGGAACCGCTCCATACTATTTATGTTTTCAACGTCCATCATTTTCTTTGAATATTCTAGGCTTCTGTTGATGATCGGTTTGGTATCACGGCTCACCCACTCGGGAAAAAGTAAGGAGCATTTTATCTCTTCTCTCACGTTTCCCTGCGTACAAGCTTTGTTCTCAATCGTTACGAGTCTCGGATTTTCAATATCTTGAAAAGGCGGCGGAGAGGAAGTTGGCGACAACGCACCGCAGACGCTGGAGCTCACGGCGTTCAACCGGACCTGGAGCGACGCCGGGGAGCAGGGCGCGCGCGCACGGGACTGGGGGCCGCAGGAGCCCCGCCGCTCTTCCTGGGCGCTCGCGGAGCGTAAGTGGCCGCGTCAGCCCCGGGACCTCTTGCGGGTAACCTCGGACTCAGAGTGTAGGGCGTGCAAAAAGAAAAAAAAAATACAAAAAACAAAAAACATGGAGCATGAGCCGTACGACCCAAGAGAGAACATGCTATCACCGCCCCCCATCCCCATCACGACGAACGGTAGACCAGTAAATGCTTCCCCAGCGAAGCCTTTATTCTTGGAAAGTGCTTTACTGTGTTCTTCCTAAAACGCTGGCTCCCTAAACTCATGGCCCCTTTCCGGGCCAGGTCTGGGCAGCTGTGATGCGAATGTGTTTAATAAAACAAATGTCCCAGGTCCAGATAACGGCCGACGCCAGGCTCCAGGCTCCGTCTGCGAGCGGCCGCCGGGGGCCTGGGGGCCTGGCGTCGTCTCCCCCGTGGGTGGTCCCTCCTGGGAGGCCTGTCTTTAATCACTGTCAGGGAGGGAGCCCCCTCCCGCCTTTAACATGTGAAAGGAAGGAGTGGAGACCCCGCCCCGGCTCGCGGGGCTGATCCGCGCGCACACCTGGGGGCTATTCACCCCTCCCAGGACTAACAAACACTCTCGGCGGGGGGTTGATTTCAGGGCCTCCCCCGCGTCTCGCTCCCCGGGGGTCCCCGTTCGGTCCTCCCGCAGCGCGAAGCTCAGAGAGCAGGCGCGGGGCGCGCGGCTGAGGTCGGTGACCTTGCCTCCTCAGGTGCGCCCCAGTGGCCGCGCTGCTGTGAGAACGGCGGCACCTGCGTGCTGGGCAGCTTCTGCGTGTGCCCGGCCCATTTCACCGGCCGCCACTGTGAGCACGACCAGAGACACAGGTGGGCGCGCAAGGGGCGGGGAGCAGGGACGGCGCGGGGCGCGGGAGCGAGCGGCGGAGCGGGGACCTGGGGACGCACGGACCCCCACCCTGACGCGGGTCCTCTCCTCCGCAGCGACTGCGGCGCCCTGGGACACGGCGCCTGGACCGTCCGCGGCTGCCGCCTCTGCAGGTGCGTGTTTGGCTCCCTGCACTGCCTCCGCCGCCAGACGCTCGGCCGCTGTGGTAAGAGGCCCCACGCTCGCGGCTCACGCGTGTGCTCTGGTTCTGCGGGCGTCTCCATCCCGAGCGTCTTACTGTACCAGGCGACAGGGAAGTGAGCCGGCTAGATGCACTCATCGCTAAGAGAGCCACGCTCCCATAATGAATCCCATAGTGCCATTCAAACTTATATTGAGTTTCTTTTAACGGCTTGCAGGGGTTTAATGGGTGATTTCCATACGGTGACCTTAGTAAGTCCCAGTTCAACAAGGGGACTTTGGGGAGCTGAGCAGCTGGGGAGCAGAACCTAACCTGGGACGCAGATCAGCTGAGTCTATCTCTTGTGATTTTCCCACAGGGCGACACCATCGTTTTTCTTTCTTCTTCTCTTTTTAATTAATTAATTTATTTGAAAAGCGGAGTTACAGATAGAGAGAGGGAAAGACAGACATCTTCCATCCACTGGTTCACTCATGGCTGCAACCACCAGAGATGAGAAAGGCCAAAGTCAGGAGCTTCATCCGGGTCTCCCAGGTGCAGAGGCCCAAGGACTTGGGCCATCTTCTACTGCCTTCCCAGCCATAGCAGAGAGCTGGATCGGAAGTGGAGCAGCCGGGACTCGAACCGGTGCCCATATGGGACGCCGGCACTGCAGGTGGCAGCTTTACCCCCTGCGCCATAGCACCGGCCCCGGAGACGGCTTTCCTTTCCTTCTCTCCTTGGTGGCACACTCTTGCCACCCTGCTTGCTGTCCCCTGGCTCCTGGCTGTTGGCTAGCTCTGCCCTGGACAGGTAGCGAGGGTGTAGGTCCAGCAAGGTGTGCTGTGCCTCTCCTTCCCCCCTGATGCAGACCTTATTTCTCCAAAGCCTTCCCTCTGCTGTGGGTTCTCCATTGGTCAAGCCTCTGCCTCGGCCTTGCCAGCAGCATCTTCTATACCTCAGAGAGAAGGGAACACAGATATCTGAGTGGCAGGGGGTGCCTGCGTGGTCTTCCCAGCTGCAGGTGGTTCTCACCTGCTGTGAGCACACCCAGGACGAAAGGGGGGAAGGGGCCTGGCTGGGATCATTTCCAGGCTCCCCCAGGCAAGACCAGCAGGGCAGGGATGGGGGTCAGGATGTGTGATCCCTGTTTTCCTTTATTTATTTATTTGAGAGGTAGAGTTACAGACAATGAGAGGGAGAGACAGAAAGGTCTTCCTTCCGTTGGTTCACTCCTCAGATGGCTGCAACAGCCTGAGCTGTGCCATTCCAAAGCCAGAAGCCAGGTGCTTCCTCCCAGTCTCCCATGCGGTGCAGGGTTCCAAGCACTTGGGCCATCCTCCACTGCTTTCCCAGGCCACAGCAGAGAGCTGGATTGGAAGAGGAGCAAGCAGCAGGGACTAAAACCGGTGCCCATACGGGATGCTGGCGCTGCAGCTGCAGCTGGAGGATTAACCTACTGCGCTACGGTGCCAGGCCCCCAGTTTTCCTTTTTTTTTTTTTTTTTTTTTGACAGGCAGAGTTAGTGAGAGAGAGAGACAAAGAGAAAGGTCTTCCTTTTCTGTTGGTTTACCCTCCAATGGCTGCTGCGGCCAGCGCACCTCGCTGATCTGAAGCCAGGAGCCAGGTACTTCCTCCTGGTCTCCCATGTGGGTGCAGGACCCAAGGACTTGGGCATCCTCCACTGCACTCCCGGGCCACAGCAGAGAGCTAGACTGGAAGAGGGGCAACCAGGACAGAATCCGGTGCCCTGATCCGGACTAGAATCCGGGGTGCCGGCGCTGCAGGCAGAGGATTAGCCTATTGAGCCGGGGTGCTGGCCCCCCTATTTTCCATTCTTAGAAATCTCCTGGATGGGGAGGACAGTGACAACAGTACTGGGAATGCAGCTTCTACTCATCAAAGCTGGATCCTAACACCAGGGTTATGATCAGAGAAAGTCACTCTGAACATCACCTACACACACCTGCGTGGTGACATTCCATCACCCAACATAGTATCTTGATGTGATCAAGAGATCAAGGGCTGTGGCCAAGGAAGCTGTGGTGTAGCGGGTTAAAGCCTCAGCCTGCGGTGCTGGCCTCCCATATGGGCCCCAGTTCAAGTCCTGGCTGCCCCACTTCTGATCCAGCTCCTTGCTAATGCGCCTGGGAAAGCAGTGGAAGATGGCCCAAGTGCTTGGGCTCCTGCACCCATATGGGAGACCCGGAAGAAGCTCCTGGCTCCTGGATTTGGCCTGGCCCAGCTCTGGTTGTTGTGGCTGTTTGGGGAGTGAACTGACAGATGGAAGACCTTTCTCTCTGTCTTTACCTCTCTCTGTAACTCTGTCTTCTTTTTTTTTTTTTCTTTTTTTTTTCTTTTTTTTTTTTTGACAGGCAGAGTGGATAGTGAGAGAGAGACAGAGAGAAAGGTCTTCCTTTTGCCGTTGGTTCACCCTCCAATGGCCGCCACGGCTGGCGCACCGCGCTGATCCGAAGGCAGGAGCCAGGTGCTTCTCCTGGTCTCCCTTGGGGTGCAGGGCCTAAGCACTTGGGCCATCCTCCACTGCCTTCCCTGGGCCACAGCAGAGAGCTGGCCTGGAAGAGGGGCAACCAGGACAGAATCCGGCGCCCCGACCGGGACTAGAACCTGGTGTGCCAGCGCTGCAAGGTGGAGGATTAGCCTATTGAGCTGAGGCGCCGGCCACTCTGTCTTCTAAATAAATAAAATGAATCTTTAAAAAAAAAGAGAGACAGACATGGTCAACATGAGATGTATGGCACTTCTGCCGAGGCAACAAAGCATTCTGTTCTACCTAACTTTTCTCCAAAAAAGACTGGCTTATCTGAAAGGTGGGGGGGCACTTTATCTGCCAGTCCCCAAATAGTTGAAACAGCTGAGGTTGGGTCAGGGTGAAGCCAGGAACTTGGAATGCCATCCAGGTCTCTCCCATGGGTGGCAGGGACCCAAGCGCCTGCCGGCCCCTGTTTTGGCTCCTTGGATGGGCTCTCCTGGCGCTTTCTGAAGCGGGCCTGAAGCTCATGGCAAGGCCAAGGCCAAGAAGGCCCTTTCTAAGATTGCATCGGCCGTTCCTCCTCCGTCTCTCTAGGCTGAGCTCACAGCAGTGGGTTTCGTGTGTTCTCCGGGGCTTTTATCTTCCAGACCTGAAGGACTTTGTCCCTGCACATGCTGCTGGCCAGAGAGCACATCTCCTGCTGCTGCTGCTTTGCCTCTTCCTTCAGAGCCTCATCAGATGCCTGTGAGGGGACACGGACTCCATCCCTCCTGGGCGTGACAAGGGCTAGCCCCCTGGCCCCATGCGGTACGGACTTGTCTTCCCATCCTGTGTTTTAAATAACGCCTCTCATTGGGTGAAGACTTTTATTGTGTAATAAACATGTGCACAAAACCACCTTGCTCTCTTCCCCAAGCCTATGTCTCGGTCTGTGGGGGACACGTGTATGACACTTGTGCTGGGCCTGCCCCACCCTGGTGGGCTCCTTTTCTGATGATTTTTCAGTGGACATGAGTGGGCCTGCCAGCCTTAGAGGTATGGCACCTGCCAGGCAATAGTCCCTCTCTCACAGCCTCCAGGCAGCAATGCCCCATGTCACTTTCCTATTCTCTGGAATCAGTATCCTCAGGGGAGGGACAGGGCCCCAGGCATGTGACCCCTGAGCTCTGGTTTAATACACAGCAGTTGCCTGAAAGTGTTGGGAGGTTGGGGCAAGGAGGGCAAGCAGGGAAGGGGCTAAGACCGGAGCATCTGGCCGCCTGGCACCTGCCTCCTTTACTCCAGGGGCCATGAGCACCTTCCTGGTGGTCACAGCATCACCACCAAAGGAGAGATGTCTGGGGGTCCACATTGTGGTGCAACGGGTGAAGCTGCCACCTGCTGTGCTGGCCATCCCGTTCAAGTCCTGGCTGCTCCGCTTCAGAGGAGGCTTCCTGCTAATGTGCCAGGGAAGGCAGTGGATGATGGTGCAAATGCTTGGGTCCCTGCTACCCTCATGGGAGACTCACATAGAACTGCTGGCTCCTGGCTCCTGGCTTCAGCCTGGCCTAACCCTGACTATTGCAGTCATTTGGGGAGTGAATCAGCAGATTAGATTTCTCTCTCTCTCCCTCTCTTTGGTTCTCTGTCACTCTGCCTTCAAGTACATAAATCAGTCTTTAATGAAAGAAGACAGGATGCCTACACAGCTGCGGACACCATAGGCAGGGAGGGAATTTAGCCTGACGAAGCCCTAGGTGGGGGTTCCACCATCTCCTGGCTGCATGGCTTCCTGTAGCAGGCCACTGCCAAGTCTGAACCCCAACTTGAAACCAAAGGTGTTTACTGAACTTTGGGAAAACAAAAGAGAGCTAAGGAGCCCCCCCCTTTTTTATTTTTTATTTTTTTTATTTTTTGACAGGCAGAGTGGACAGTGAGAGAGAGAGACAGAGAGAAAGGTCTTCTTTTGCCATTGGTTCACCCTCCAATGGCTGCCGCGGCCGGCGCGCTGCGGCCGGCGCACCACGCTGATCCGATGGCAGGAGCCAGGAGCCAGGTGCTTTTCCTGGTCTCCCATGGGGTGCAGGGCCCAAGCACCTGGGCCATCCTCCACTGCACTCCCTGGCCACAGCAGAGAGCTGGCCTGGAAGAGGGGCAACCGGGACAGAATCCGGCGGCCCAACCGGGACTAGAACCCGGTGTGCCGGCGCCGCTAGGCGGAGGATTAGCCTAGTGAGCCGCGGCGCCGGCCCCCCCCTTTTTTTAAAAAAGATTTATTTATTTATTTGAAAGTCAGAGTTAGAGAGAAAAGGAGAGGCAAAGAGAGAGAGAGAGAGAGAGAGAGAGACAGAGAGAGGTCTTATATCCGCTGGTTCACTCCACAGTTGGCCGCAATGGCTGGAGCTGCACCCATCCAAAGTCAGAAGCCAGGAGCTTCTTCTGGGTCTCCCACGTGGGTGCAGGGGCCCAAGGACTTGGGCCATCTTTTACTGCTTTCCCAGGCCATAGCAGGGAGTCAGATTGGAAGTGGAGCAGCTGGGATACGAAACCCACATGGGATGCCAGCACTGCAGATGGCGGCTTTACCCACTACGCCACAGCGCCAGCCCCAAGAGCCCCTCTTCTTGCCAATCACAAGATGCATGGAGTTAGGGCTCTCATTAAGCCAGGTTAAACTGCTTCCTGCAATGCTGGTGTCTCATATGGGTGCTCATATAGTCCCAGCTGCTCCATTTTCAATCCAGTTCACTACTAATGCACCTGCGAAGGCAGCAAAAGATGGCCCGATTACCTCGGTCCCTGCCACCTGTATTGGAGACCCAGATGAGTTCCAGGCTCCTGGTTTTGGCCTACCCCAGCCATTTGGGGAGTGAACCAGCAGATGGAATCTCTCTGTCTTTCCCTCTCTCTCTGTAACTCTGCCTTTCAAATTGTCATAATAATAACAAAAGACCAATTCCTTAAAATAAAAAAGCTTGGGGATCAGGCATTGTTAGGCTGGGCCTGTCCCATGCAAGGGCTATCCATTGAACAGTCAGTGGTGTTTGGATCAATACCACAACTGGGAATGGGAGAGTGAAAAAGTAAGATTATTCCAAATTATTCAGGTAAGCAAACAGGAAATAACCATGAGAAAAAAACCCTCTGGAATATGCAATGTAGCTGACTTGATAAACTAGTTGGTGTTTCAGAAGTCTTCTAGGGCCGGCGCCGCGGCTCACTAGGCTAATCCTCCGCCTTGCGGCGCCGACACACCGGGTTCTAGTCCTGGTCGGGGCGCTGGATTCTGTCCCGGTTGCCCCTCTTCCAGGCCAGCTCTCTGCTGTAGCCAGGGAGTGCAGTGGAGGATGGCCCAAGTGCTTGGGTCCTGCACCTGCATGGGAGACCAGGATAAGCACCTGGCTCCTGCCATCGGATCAGCGCGGTGTGCTGGCCGCAGCGCGCCGGCCACAGCGGCCATTGGAGGGTGAACCAACAGCAGAAGGAAGACCTTTCTCTCTGTTTCTCTCTCTCACTGTCCACTCTGCCTGTCAAAAAAAAAAAAACAAAACAAAACAAAAAAAACCAAAAACAAAAACAAACAAACAAAAAAGAAAGAAAGAAAGAAAGAAGTCTTCTAAAGCTGTGTTTAGGACGTTCAAAGTTGACTTTGGTGGAAGGATGACCCCAGGACTCCGTCATCGGTACCACAGCGGGTGGGGGTGTGGACTGTAGCTGGAGGGAGGCCATACTGCACCTGTCCTTCTCTGTACAAACATACCTGCTCACAGCAACCCGAGGATCTTGGGAAGCCCACTCTGCTGGGGCAGTGGTAGAGAGAAATGAGAGAATGACAAGACAGTCACAACCAGAGCTGTCCATCAGGAGGGGGTGGGGACGAGCTGGGGATGCCAGGTGAGACAGAGACTTGAGTCTCTGCTGTGTTACACACACAGCTCAAGGAGAGGATACTTCCCATGAGTTTTTCCAGCTTTTTTTTTTTTAATTGTTTTATCAACCAAAGATTATCTGGTTTCATTTTACCTAGAGAAGGAAATTGAACATTCATCTGCATTCAGAACGGACTTGGGTGAATTAATGAGGGTAAGAAAGTTCAAATACCATTCACAGTTACGGGAATTGTCTTTGAGACTTTTACCTGATTCTCTGATTTTAACAATCTGCTAGTTAAAATTAATTTTTAGAATTCAAAAACAGGCAGGCCCTAAACAAACCATGGAGGCCTTAGCCTAACAAGACCCAAAGAGAACGCAGATCAACACAATCCCCATTCTGGGTTGAATTGTGTCTCCCAAAAAATACGTTGAAGTCTTAATGCCCAGCCTTCGGAATGAGCCCACTATGGAAATGGGGTCTTCACAAGGTAACTGAATTCAAGTGAGGTCCTTGGCATGGGCTCTAATCCACTCTGGCTGCTGTCCTTAGGCAAAACGGACACAGATAGTCACAGGGTGGACATGATGGGGAAAAGGCATGGAGGATCCACAGGACCGGAGCGGGGGCTGGGGAGTGGACAGAGGCCGGGGAGTGGACACAGGCTGGGGAGAAGGCCCCTGTCACTGGCTGCGTCTCCTCCCTCGGAACTCATCTGTCGGGTCCTAACCACGGGTGACTTAGCACATGGCCGTATTCGGAAAGAAGACCTTTAAAAGGTGATCAGGCTTGAACAGGGCAGTAGAGGGGGCCTTAACCCGACAGGACGGCTGTACACGCTGGAAGCAGGGGCCTGGACACAGGGAGGAGACGCCCCCCGGCGAATCAAGAAGCCTCAGCAGGCGCCCATTCTGGAACTCAGGCTTCCAGCCTGCAGCATACAGTGCGGCGTTAGGCACTCCCGGCCTCCCCCTCAGCACCAGCTTGCATTCCAGAAAATGTCAAGAACTTTGGTCCACCCGCAGGAGTCCTTGCCTCCAACCTGGAGAGGCGCGCGGGAACCCAGAATTCCCGTAGCTTTACCGGGAGAAACTGCTTCTCCAGGAGAACCCGCCCGAGCTCCTCCGGAGCCAGCGTCCGAGTCCGGGGCGCGGGGTGCGTCCGGCGGGTCCACCCTAGGGAACCTGGCTCCCGCTGGCTGCCCCCGCCGCAGCGCCCCCCGCGGCCGCACAGGGAACCGAGGCGCGGGAACTCCCTCTTGCCTGCCCGGCCTCGGGGTCTGCCGCGGCGAGGCGGACGGCCGGGCCAGGATACGAGTTTTCCCAGCTTTTAAAATCCAGTTTAGGATTAAAACGCTGGCCTGCAGCGCCAGCTTCCCATATGGGTGCCTGGCATTCAAGTCCTGGCTGCTCCACTTCCTATCCGGCATCCTTGCTGATGGTCTGGGAAAGCAGTGGAAGATGGCCCAAGCCCTTGGGCCCTTGCATCCGCGTGGGAGACCTGGAAGAAGCTTCTGGCTCAGATCCTGCTATTGCAGCCATTTGGGGAATGAACCAGGAATTCGGGAAAATTTCTCTGTAACTCTTTCAAACAAATAAAATGTCTTTTTTTTTTTTTTTTTTGACAGAGTGGACAGTGAGAGAGAGAGACAGAGAGAAAGGTCTTCCTTTGCTGTTGGTTCACCCTCCAATGGCCACTGCGGCCGGCGTGCTGTGGCTGGTGCACCGCGCTGATGCGAAGGCAGGAGCCAGGTGTTTCTCCTGGTCTCCCATGGGGTGCAGGGCCCAAGCACTTGGGCCATCCTCCACTGCCCTCCTGGGCCACAGCAGAGAGCTGGCCTGGAAGAGGGGCAACCGGGACAGAATCTGACGCCCCAACCGGGACTAGAACCCGGTGTGCCGGTGCCGCAGGCGGAGGATTAGCCTAGTGAGCCGCAGCGCCAGCAATAAAATAAATCTTAAAAAAAATCCACATTAAGCCCGTGTAATACTGTTATTTAAAAAATTATATTATAAATTACTATGTTGCAAATTTCAGCCTTTTCTACTTTTGGCTATGACAACATAAATTCGATATAGCATTCAAATGAGTGCTGTCAAAAAAATAAGAATTCAATGGAGGATTGATGATGAAGTCATTAGTTCATGAGAAAAATAATTATTCAAATTTTCAGACAAATATTTCCAGGCAATAATAATTTTTATGGCCAACTTGTCTTTATTTATTTATTATTTATTTATTTATTTTACTTCAAAGTCAGAGTTACACAGAGGAGAGGCAGGGAGAGAGAGAGAGAGGTCTTCCATCCAATGATTCACTCCCCAATTGGCTGCAACAGCTGGAACTGCACTGATCTGAAGCCAAGAGCCAGGACCTTCTTCTGGGTCTCCCACGCAGGTGCAGGGGCCCAAGGACTTGGGCCATTTGCTACTGCTTTCCCAGGCCATAGCAGAGTTGGATAGGAGGAGGAGCAGCCGGGTCTCGAACTGGTGCCCATTTAGGATGCCGGTGCTTCAGGCCAGGGCGTTAGCCCAGTGTGCCACAGCGCCAGCCCCTCAACTTGTCTTTAAATAGTTTCAACGTACTCTGAACAGAAGTTTCTCTTTTATAGTTTAATTTTTGTAGAACAAGCAAATGAACTTTGCAAATTTATCCTAAAAACTCAATGAAGGTGTTTATGCATTGGGTGGAATTCCTATTTACAAAATGCCCATTTTTGGCCCAGCATTGTGGCACAGCTGGTTAAGACACCATATTGGAGCACCGGTTCAAGTCCTGTCCATTCTGCTTCCTGTCCAACTGCCGGCTGATGCACATGTTGGGAGGCAGCGGAGGATGGCGGAAGTGTTTGAACCCCTGCCACCCATGTGGGAAACCCGGATGGAGTTTCTGGCTCCTGGCTTCCACCTGATCCAGCCTGGGCTGTTGCAGTCATTTGGGCGAGTGAAACAGTGGATGGAAGATCTCTCTCTCTCTCTTTCCTCTCTCTCTCTCTCTCTCTGTCACTGTGCCTTTCAAATAGGTAAAAAAAATCTTTTGTAAAAATGCTTGTTTTTAAAACCATTTCAAAGTGTACAGAAAAACACAGACAGGCTTGGGGCTGGCACTGTGGTGCACCGGGTTAAAGCCCTGGCCTGAAGTGCCGGCATCCCATACGAGTGCCTGTTCTGGTCCTGGCTGCTCCTCTTCTGATCCAGCTCTCTGTTATGGCCTGGGAAAGCAGCAGAAGATGGCCCAAGTCCTTGGGCTCCTGCACCCACATGGGAGACCTGGATGGAGTTTCTGGCTCCTGGCTTCGAATTGGTGCAGCTCTGGCCATTGTGGCCATCTGGGGAGTGAATCAGCGGATGGAAGACCTTTCTCTCTGTCTCTACCTCTCTCTGTAACTCTGTCTCTCAAATAAATAAAATAAATCTTAAAAAAAAAAGACAGGCAAAAGACACATTTTCTTAGTTTCAGGAGCTGCTCTTAGAGGAGGGAATTCCTGATTTTGAGAGGCTGCAATTGTGGTGAAAAGGAAAACCAATCACTTCCTCATGTTGTCAGAGGTCTAGGAAGTGGACACATACCACATTTCACACAGAAAATTAGGAATAATTGTTAATTATAATATAGCAAGGAAACCAAAGTCACCATTCATCTCTCATATCTATCTATCTATCTATCTATCTAATCTATTATCTTTCATCATCTATCAGATTATCATCTGTGTATCAATCATATCTATCTATATCATCTACCAGTCATCTATCTATAATATCTATCATCTATCATCTACCAGTCTATCAAGCCTCTGTCTACCAATTAACCAACCAATTAATTGATAAACCACTACTTACCTAGCTATGAGGAAAAAAAAAAAACCCATCCAAGAGTTGTGAAAAGAGGAAGCCCCTTGCTTTTTCTGCAGTGCCTAACGAATTTGAGGCTAAAATGCTTTCCCTATAGACAATACCCTTGGTGTCCAGAGAGATCATTACAAAGTAGATGCGTCCCAGGAGATTAAAGAGCAAGTGTGGGCCCCTGGTTAGAACCTTCATGTCTGTGTGTCCCAGACCTTAGCTGTCTGTCTCCCGCTGTGGAGCACGGACCATAGACAGCCCCCCTGCCAGCCGTCTGTGAGCCCATCCCCTGGCTTGTTCTGATGGACAGCCACCTCCCTTCCCTGTGTCAGCCCAGCTGCCAGCCGCTTTCTCCTTGCCTGGTTTGTTGTGCCTGGTCTATTCTGGCACATTCCAGAAAGGCAGGGTCTGTCACCTCAGATCTGGGTGTGCTCTCTGAAGGAGCCACTCCAGGACGCTGAGACAAGAGGCAGGGTTGTACCCGTCACACAGTTTCCATTTCCTGACCACTGGGCCCCTTTCCCACTCAGAGTTTATTCAGAGCCTTCCTGTTCCTTTGAGAAACATCACGGCTGCATCCCTGGCCCTGGTCCCCCTTCTAGCCTGGATTCAAACTGACTTTCCTTGGCAGGGAGTGTTCCAAAGCAAACTGGTTGCATCCCAGTTTCTCTTGTCTGCCAAAGCTACCCTGGTCCCTGTGGCTTTATACCACACAGGCGAAAGTTCCTGGGACTGACCTGGGCAGGGATGCCAGCTTCGAATATTTGAACTTGACTTCAGTACGAGTCACATGCACTGCCTTGTCTCATCTCGCCTGGAGTATCTGCTATCGGGAAAGGAAAACAGGGGGCTCAACACTCACTGACTCTCTGGCCAGCAGCTGGACCCTTGGGGACCCCCAAGTGGCCACTACGAATGCTCACAGCTGCACACAGTTGTATATGCCTACATCATTTTATCATTCATTTTACCCATAAAGCACTGAATCCACAAGTAATAACAAAATACACAACATTCTTCATCGTGAATTCCATAAAGCCTATATAAGCTTTTGTTGATTTTTATGAGAGTAAAAAATAGATTTATTTATTTGTTGGAAAGCCAGAGTGACAGAGAGAGAGAGAGAGAGAGAGAGAGCTCTTCCATCTGCTGGTTCACTCCCCAAGTGGCCACAACAGCCACAATCGGATCAGGTTGAAGCCAGGAGGCCCGGAACTCCATTCAGGTCTTCCCTGTGGGTGGCAGGGGCCCAAGGTTTGCCTGCCCTTGATCTTTTTTTTTTTTTAAAGATTTATTTATTTATCTGAAAGTCAGAGTTACACAAAGAGAGAAGGATAGGCAGAGAGAGAGAGAGAGAGAGAGAGAGAGGCCTTCTATCCGCTCGTTCACTCCCTAATTGGCTGCAATGGCTGCAGATGTGCCAACCTGAAGCCGGGAGTCTGGAGCTTCTTCCGGGTCTTCCATGTGGTTGCAGGAGCCCAAGGACTTGAGCCATCTTCTATTGCTTTCCCAGGCCACAGCAGAGAGCTGGATTGGAAGTGGAGCAGCTGGGACTGGAACCGGCACCCATATGGAATGCCTGCACTGCAGGTGGTGGCTATATCCGCTGCATCACAGCGCAGGCTCCTCCCTTGATTCTTTATGATGGTTGTTGGCCATTTGTATACCTTGTGAGCCAAATCTCTATTCACATCATTCGCCTTTTATACTTCAGACTATTTGTGGTGCGTTTTAGGTCTTTTGTTTTGCTGGTGTGCTGTGTGGACTATCCTAGGTTTGGGCTATTTGCCCCCTTGTCTGTCAAATAGCTTGTAAAGATTTTCTTCCCTTCTGTGGGGTGTCTCTTTGTCCCCTGCAGGCGGCACTCGCATTCCTGATTCGTGGTGGGGCCGCTCTCAGTCTGGTGTCTGATAATCCTGCATCCCTCACTGCAGGGCCTCAGGGCCTTGGGAGGAGCAGCCCAGTTCAGCCCATCTGCAGAGGGGCCTGAAGCCTCAGAGCCTGTGGCAGGGACTGAGTGAGTGGCAGGTGGGAGGACTCGTGGGGGCTGAGTGAATGGTAGGTGGGAGGGCTCATGGGGACTGAGGGAGTGGCAGGTGGGAGGGCTCATGGGGGCTGAGTGGCAGGTGGGAGGCTCTTGGGGATTGGTGTTTTCCTCCTGCTGTGCCCAGGGCTGAGTCTGTTCCCTGTGGATTTCTGCAGTGCTCTCACCAGGTCAGTGTGAATGGACTCCTATGTCACAGATAAGGAAAGTGGAGCACAGAGAGGCGGGGTGGGGGGTGGGGTGGGGCGGGGGAAGGACCTGGTGCAGCCACACAGGCCACAGCTGCAGAGAGAGCAGGTGCTCACCTGAGCCACAGCCCTCACCCTGCTGCCCCAGGGCCCTGCACTGCACCACAGTGCCCCCCACCAGCTACAGTGCAGACAAAGCCCAGGTGTCCCAGCTGCCTGGGAGCCTGATCCCGCCCCTCCCTTCCCACGCTGCTCTTTCCTCTTAGCTCCTGAGAGGCTGTCAGAGACTGGGTTCCTGCTGCCTGGCAAGATGGAGCCCTCAACCCACAGGGATCCACTAGAGGCAGCTCAGACTGTGTGGATGCCACTGAGTGCTCCCAGAAGGACCCGTCCCTTCCCAGAGGGCTGCTCAAACTCAGACCCATGTGGGGATGTGCAGTGCATGCCTGCTGGGGACCCCTCCGGAGAGCAGAGAGGCCAATGAGTGCTGACTGCTGGCAGACGGCCCATCTGCCCCAGGCACGCCCAGCCAGGAGCTGTAGCACAGCCCAGGGACACACACATCCATGAATGCAGGCAGCCATCAGTGAGCTCCATTTCACACTGCTGCTCCTCTCGGGCTGCCCAGCCTGCCCCCCCTTTGGAGGAGAGGTGCCGCAGGGCCTTGGAGGGGTAGATCCACACCAGGGGCCTGAGACAGAACGTGTGCCCCTGCTGGGAAGCTCGGGGCAGGGTTGGGGGTGAACTGGCTCCTGGCCTCCTGCGCACCATGGGCTGGCTAGCCCCTGGCCAGCTCAGCAGCAAAAAGCAATACCTCCCTGGGACTTGGGGATGTCAGGGTGCCCGTGTCTGTGCTACACTGACTCTGCCTTCCCGTGGAGCGGCCCGGCTGGGGCTTGGCTGGCCCTGAGCCCTCTCCTGCAGGGGGGCCCAGGCACTGACACAGAAGGCTCAGAAATGCGAGTGAGAGAAGCTTCTTGAGTTGGTTTACTTTGGGTGGCTTCGAATGGATGGAAGAACCCGAGATGGAACCACGTGCGGAGGTGCAGCGCTCTGCGTGGGGGCTCCGGGGCGGCTGGGACAGGCCCGTCACCGACTCTGCAGGAGAATCAGCAGCAGCAGAGTTGCAGACGTCAGCAGGACCAGGAAGACCCTGGGCTTGGGGACAGTGCCGGCCTCGGGAATAGGAACGTTGACCAGAACAGGCGGCTTTTCCTCAGGAGGGGCTTTCGAGGGGTCGGGTGTGGGGGTGGCTCGCTGTTGCTCTTGGATCCAGTTGGCGAAGTAGGTGATCCTGGTGAAGACGCTGGGGCTGACGGGACTGCGGCAGTCCCAGCTCCAGCTGGTCACGCCCACCAGGTACCAGGCGCGCCTTAGGAAGCAGACCAAGGGCCCGCCGGAATCTCCCTGGGAAAAGAGAGGGCAGGGTTCGTGGGGACAGAAACAGGGAAGGACATGCATTGCTCAGGAGACATGAGGGGCCCTGGCCCTGCTCTGTAAGCCTGTGTGTGCGCAGCAAGGCAGGTCAGGTGTCTCTGTTGTCTACAGGATGCATGGCAACACACCTGGGGCAATGGCAAAAGACCAGATGTGCAAAGGCCATGGAGAGGATTATCTTGAGGACCTGGCCTGAGGGCCGCCATCTATGAAGCTCCTGTAACCTGGCAGTTACTGACCTATGAGAACACACAGGGGGCGCCAAAAAGCCAGACAGCCACCCTCCGACCTCCCCACACCCCACCAGGAAGACGGCATGGCCTGTGTTCCTATGGGACAGGTAGGTTGCCAGATTGGAGGCTCAGCTAATTCCACAGCCCAGCACTGTATGCGACCTGCGCCTTTGCTGGCGACCTAACACGGTCTCCAGTGTTTCCTCAGCTCCTGGTTGAGCTTTAGAAAGTGCTGGGCTGTTAGATCTGTGGAAGGTGAAGAGGTGTTGCTCAGAGGGAGCAGCTAAAAGGTGTGGAGCCAACAGGTGTGGCTGGGCAGGAGGTGGGAAGGTGTCGGCCCCAGTCCTCTCGCAACTTGACCATGGCCTGGCTCCCTTTCTCGGGCTGCTCACTTCCTCCCTGGGCTTGCATTTCTCCACCATGAGATGGAACGATTACACAGAACGGGGCGGGGGTAGGCGAGAACGTCCACAATCTATAATGAGCTCTTCAGATTACACAAACAAAAACATAGACAGTTGCTGAAAAAGGCAATCAACATGAAAAATACTTATCCTCAGCATTCTCCAAAGAAACGCAAAGTAGAAACCACATCACATAATTAAAATTTCAGATAACCTGAGTTGGGGGCGGTGGTGACACAGAACAACTGGAGCCCTCACTCACTGAGGGCAGGAGTGCAAATTGGTAGGCTCGAGTTGAGGAGCTGCCTGGGTGATGTATGAGAGACGAACAACTGCAGGTCTCCCAGCATGGATCTGCACTGCCAGGGTGACTGTGGGCACTAACACACACACACCCCGGCATGCTCACGGCCACATTATTTGCAGTGAGCTCCCATGGAAATGCTCCAACGTCAACAGCACTGGGGATGCACAGCACCGACTACACCCATGGGCTACTCGCACGATGTGGCAATGGCGGAGCAGCCAGGCCAAGCTTGCATCCTGCTGTAGGCACTCCGTAAACCTCCACACCAAGGCACTGGGCTTTGGAAGCCTGAGCAGGGCTGTATGGGGAGAGGGACAGAGAGAATGTGGGCAGGAGTGAGCCCCTCCGGATGCTGGGTTCATAAGGACTTCGGTCCCTAACATTTAGCACATAGAACACTTGGAAAGTCCGCCCTTCAGTGCCCACGCCATGCTCCAGGAACCTTCTGTAAGGAAGCAGAGACACTGGGCCTTCTGCCAGAAGGGATCTCAGGCTGGGCTCAGGAAGAGGAGGGGGTCAGGGCTGGGGCAGCGTCCAGGGGAGACAGAGGGAGGGGGCCCAGCACAGAGGTGGCCGAGTTCCGCCAGCTTCACTTACTCGACAGATGGACTTCTCGTCCCAGGTATCCCCAGCGCATATCATGTCGTCCTTGACACTAAAGACATCATGGGGGGGCGTGCCTGGAGGGGGTATGAAGAACCTCCTGCAGCTGTCACTGTCTATGAGACTGACCTTGGCCTCCTGCAGCTGGAAGGGCGCCGGCAGGAACACTGTGGGGAGACAGCACAGATGTGAGAGCAGCTGGAGGGACGCCTCTCCCTGTGACACCTGCTTCTCTCTCTGACACCTGCTTCTCCCCGACACCTGTTTCTCCCCCTGACACCTGCTTCTCCCTGACACCAGCTTCTACCTCTGACCCCTGCTTTTCTCTGACACTGGCTTCTCCCTCTGACACCGGCTTCTCCCTCTGACACCAGCTTCTCCCCCTGACACCTACTTCTCCCTCTGACACCTACTTCTCCCTCTGGCACCTGCCTGACAGTGGAAGGCACCCACTCCAGCACACAGGACTGTCTACTCTGAGTCCAGGTCAGGGACACAGATGCTGGGCCACCTGCGCTGGCTGGAGCAGAGGCAGAGCTGACGGGTGCCAGGCGGGCTGGGTAGCATGACAGACATGACTGCCCTGCCTAGGAACAAGTGATCTGTGGACACTGCGATCCTGTTTCCAGAGGCCACCCCCGATCTGGCCTGGGTCCCCCGGTGGAGCACAGTGTCACAGCGATGGCTCACACCTGTGCGCCACTGGCTGTGTGCGAGTTTCACAGGGCTGTTGTGTGGGGCAGACCCCAGCTCTGGGTGCAGCCTTGTCCGGGGGAGGGCATGCACAGGGAAGGAACGGCAGGCCCAGTGTCTCCTTGCTGTCAGCTGCTCCCTGCCCTGGTGGCTTCCCTGCCCACGACTTCCCTGGGAGCGCCAGCTCCTGCAGTGTGCCGTGCCTTGGAGAATCCTTGCCCTGCTGGTGGTTCTTGGTGAGGGGCCCTCTCGGGAGGGTGTCTTTGGAAATGTTGAAGGACCAGGGGTTGGCATGGTGGCATAGTGGACTAAAACTTATGCCTGTGGTGCTGGCATCCCATGTGGGCGCCATTTCAAGTCCCAGCTGCTCCAGTTCTGATCAAGCTCCCTGCTAATGTGCCTGGGAAATCAGTGGAAGGTGGCCCAAGTACTTGGACTTCTGCACTGCATGGGAGACCCAGAAGAAGCTCCTGGCTTCAGATCAGCCCATCTCTAGTCATTATGACTGTTTGGGGGAGTGAACCAGTTAATGGAAGACCTCTCTCTCTCTGTCTTTCCCTCTCTTTCTGTAACTCTACCTCTGAAATAAATAAATACATCTTTTAAAAAAATTTTGAAGGGTCAGCTGTTCTAGTTGACTGGACAGTGTGACTGACACTGGGTGTCTGACTCTGGCCTGTACATAAATAAATTCCTGCCTTGAAATTATTCACTGGAATCATCTACCACATCTCCCAGTCATGCTGATGTTACATCCTACTCTGGGGTCATTCACTGGTATATTTTACTACATTACTAGTGTTCACCCCTGTGTGAAAATCTTTGCCTAACATTTCTTTCTCTCCATAGAGGGAGTTGGGTCAGGGACTCCCGCAGATACCGACTCTGCAGGTGCTGTAGTGCCTTGTATACAGTGGTGCACTATTCAAGCACCTTGCATACAGTGGTGTAGCATCGGCAGAGCCTGTGCCATCCTCCCTTGTCCTCTGTATCTTCTCCAAGCTTCCTACACTTAATGCAGGACCACTATTCTGCAAATACTAATTATATGGCATTGTTAATGGAGTAATGGTATACAACTTTTTTCTGAGTCTTTTTGGATTTCCTGCAGGTGTCAAGGGTCCTCCATCCTTACCCAGTACTTACGTAGCATGGGAAAGTCTTACTTGAGTGCAGGGATGAACGGTGAGCACCACAGAGCTAAATGTTCTCCATAAACAGCCCGGTTTGGATTAGGCCATTGTCCAGGCTGCTACAATTCCCTTACTGAGGCCCAGTACCTTCCAAGGCCGGGGAAGCTCAGCTATGTTTGCTTAAGTTCTGCAGGACCGTGGGGTCCATGCAGAGCCCACAGTGTACAGAGCCCTGTAATCCAGAGCCCACCTTCCTGATTCTGAGAACTGGAGATATGCAGACTTCCTGGTCCCCAAGATGAAGGTCCCATGAGGTTTGAGAAGGACTGGGAGGGTCCACGGTGACCGCCCTCCCCCTGTCCCTTGTTGCCTACCCCAAGCGGCTCACCATCCTCCGTGAGCATCCCCCAGCCACTGATCCAGCAAGAGCTATCCATGGGCAGCACTGTTGAGTTATCTGGGAGACAGGCAGGGCGGATGTGAGAGTTAAACTCCACAGGGATATCCAGTTGTAACAGGGTGATGTCACTCCCAAAGCGATGGAACTTGTTGAAGTCGGCGTGGACGATGACTTTGTTCACGGTCATTTGCCGGCTGAAGCTGCCGGGATTACTCAGCTGGTTGTACCCTAGCAGGATGCGATAGTCAGCTGGATGATGGGACCTGTTGATGGAGTGCTCCTCTGAGTTCTGGGCTCACACCTGCACCCTTGCTCTGCACCTGTACCTCCTTCTCTCCACCCAGAGCATGGCCCCATCCCAGGGGCTCAGTCTCCTCCCTCCCTCGGATGGGACAGCCCAGGATGTCTGTCCAGGGAGGGACACTTTCTCCATGCTGCCTCTCCCAGCGAGCCCCAGATCTAAGCCACAGCCATTCTTGTTGCCAGAAAGAGACCTCTGGGGGTGTCCGACTGCACCCTTCTTCTTGGAGGAGCACAGCCTCGGCTCGCTCCCAGCCCTGTGCAGTCCCTAAAGCCCCCCAGGGGCCAGCATGCTGCTTCCCCCACTTCCCAGGTCCTCTCTCCTCAACTGTCCTGAAGGCTGCCCCCACCTGGGGCCAGGCACCCCCTAGGTGTTTGTGGGACAGATGGAAGGGTGCTTCTCCTTGTTCCTGGGCCCTGAGCCACTGCTGGTGCAGCACCCCCACTCGGACTCCGCATGGCCAAATCCTGTTCCCCCAGGGCCTTTCTAGCTTTAAGCCCTGGCTCTGATTGGACTCCTGGCCTCTCCCAGATCACCAAGATGGTGAGGCTTCGGCCTTGCTTTCCTGGTTGGATGAGAAGCTTCAGATGGGTCTTGTAACTCTACACCCCGCCCTCCTCCTCCTCCTCACTGTCAGCCTTACATGGGACCTGGCACAGGTGGGTGCTGAATCAATGAACAGAACCTACATGGTGTCCAAAAGCCAGCTGTGCCCAGTGCTCTGGCTTCCGGTGTTGGAGGCTGATGTGTTTCCCACTCTGGGTACGGAGTGAATCCAGTCTGGCTACCCCCTGCCCCACATCCCTAGGACACAGCCCATTGGCTCCATCCCTGTCTGGCTTGAAGTGACATTGTTGCCCAGAGGGGTTCCTGGGTATAGAATTCTGTAGAAGGAGCAGGAGACACCACTGTTGCTCAGATCTGCAGAGTCCCAGGAAAGCTCGGATGTGTCAGGTGTTGGAGGGTGTGTGTGACCAGCATCTGGGGGCCTCTAGCAGCTGTGTCTGGGAGACAGGTGGACAGCTCTGGCTGGAGCAGGCAAGATGCCATCCATGCAGGCCATGACTGCAGATCTCCGTGTCCTGGAGGCAGGCTCCAGGGACTGGCACTTTGACCTCATGCCTGGAGCCAGGGGGACGTGTGTCGCCAGGCACATGACACCCTCACTGTCATTTCCACAAGTGGGAACTGAGGCTGACGGGGGTGGGTGTGGACACCGGTGCTCATCCTAAGACGGACAGGATTTCGCTCCCTAGCAGGTATAAGAAGAGTGGACTGGAAATCAGGAAATCAGGTGTATATTCCAGCATTGATGAGAACAGCTTGAGTGGATGAATTTCCACGTAGTTATTTACACCTCACCTGCACATATGGGACACAGCCACCCCATCTAGGTAGGCTTCCCAGAGTGAGGGGGAAAGCTGGGGGTGGGGTTGTCCTCAGATGAGAGATGAGGAGCGAGCTTCTGTCCCGAGAGATGTGACACAGACATGGGAGCCAGGTGGGGAGCAGGGATGGCATTTGGCATTCAGCTTCAGGGGACCGCTAGGGCAAGGGCCGGCAGCTGCACAATATCCCAGAGCAAACCAGCGAGGACAAGGCCGCGGCCCCTGCCACCCCTTGCTTCCTGCCCCCTGGTGCTTCTCTCTCTCCTGCCACCCTTCCTAGCAGCGGCTGGTCCCAAGGAGGGGAGACGCACCTTTGGAAGCAGTGAGCGGCAGAGACTACCCAGGTGCTGGAGATGAGGGCAGCTCCACAGATATGCCGGCCATTCATAAGCAGGCTGGCCTGCCAAGGCCACCGTTCTGGTTCTGCCTTCTTGCCACCAAAGATCTTTCCAGTGACTTTGCTCTTCCCGCATACTGTGGGGACAATGCCAGCCCTGAGGTCCCTGCTTCTGAGACGCTAGCCCTTGTTGTCCCCAGATGTCTCCATCACAGCACTCAGGGGGCTCCCCCACCCCCAGCCCCTGGGCTCTCTTCCCAGGTGGGGAACATACAAGGCTCAGGCTGAAGTGACACGGCCCATGTGACAACACACTGCTTGGGTGGCCAGGTGGCAGGGCACACAACAGCCCAAGGCTCCCTCTCAGGGGTGATGGCCCCACCATGCAGAAGTCCACCCCAGGGGAGGCGTGGGGCCAGGATTTTCTGTGCCTTTACCTCCCTGCAGGGGCACAGCCCTGGGTGCATGGCAGGACTTGAAGGGAGGACAGAAGTGGGATTACTGCGTGCCCTCAGCCAGCTGGAGTTCTAGTGAGACTGAGGGCGGGGGCAGTCACTCTCCCTGGCGGGTCCCCTTTGCCATGAGGAGGAGTTGAGCCTTTGGCCAGGTTTTCAGATTCACTTTGGAAGGGCACTCAGAGTGGGGAGGGGAGTAGTGTTTTGGGGTAGAGGGGGTCAGGGCGAGTCTGGGTCCCCTTTAACGGGGCCTCCGGCCATCTACCTCCCAGTGCGGCTACAGCCACACGTGGCCTGGCTGAGGTCGTCCTGGCCAATGTCAGAGGTCAGAGGGAGAAGTGGGTGTCCCTGATCGCCCCAGCTCCTGTCCCTGCCCACTCACCATCAGCCAGGTTCTCGTTGTTCCTATTGGACGGGGTGACCTGGGCGCGCAGTGGTGGGAGGCGCAGCCAGAGCAGGAGGGCGGCCAGTGCGCAGGCTCCTTGCCGGCCTAGCACTGAGCCTTCCCTCCTGGTGGCCCCCATCCCGCCCGTCCGCTTCTGCTTCCCCCCACCGAGGGAGCGGTCGGTCAGCGGGGCGTGCTCGCGGTCAACTGCGGGCCGCTGGGAAACCGCCTCTGTCGGTCGGTGGTTGTTCCAAGGGCCCTGGAGGAGCGGGAGGTCTCCGGCTGCGGAGAGGCAAGTGTACCCTGTCCGGCAGGTGGCAGTCTCCGCTCGGAGCTCCCAGGCTGATGGGCGCGGCCTCCACCCGTCGCCTAGGACTCGGGTTTGGTGTTTGATGGGGGAGACGTTGGGGTGGCTATGGCTGTGCCTGGGCCATACAGTCCCGGTCATTGATGCTTGCGTGATATCTCGTCTGTTTGATATGTTTTCCTCGTCCACACGCTCACCTGCCCCCGGGAGTTGGTGTGCTTAGGCTCACGCAGGGTCCAGTATCACCCTTGTAGGCCGAGCAGCCTCCCCCACTCCCGGGAGGAAGAGTGCTCCTGCTCACGGGTCCCTCCCACTCTCCGAAGGTCGGGGCTAGCAAGGGCTGGGCCGCCAGGAGTGGTCCTGGGATTCTGTCCATCACAGTTCAGTCTCCAATGCTGGTGTCTCCTGCAGAGTCATCATGCCGCCAGCAATGCCCCTTGTGATCATGAGATTGTGCAGGTACAGATCAGGTGGCCTGGATGCTTGGTTGTTCCAGCTCTGAGCAGTTCTGGTGGTGCCTGCAGAGTGGATACAGACGAGGCCGGCCAGTTACCAATATTCTCATTCAGAGAAGGGGGAAAAAAGGAGAGAAAAAAAGTACTGCTTCATCACAATTTTTATTTCTATTTTTAAAAATATTTTATTTATTTATTTGAGAAGTAGATTTACAGAGGCAGAGAGAGGAAGAGACAGAGAGAGAGAGAGGTCTTCCATCCGCTGTTCACTCCTCAAATGTCTGCAATGGCCAGAGTTGACCCACTCTGAAGCCAGGAGCCAGGAGCTTGTTTTGGGTGCAGGGGCCCAAGCCACTCAGGCTGACTTCCACTGCTTTCCTAGGCCATGGCAGAGAGCTGGATAGAAGAGGAACAGCCGGGACATGAACTGGTACCCATATGGGATGCCCGCACCACAGGGAGAGGCTTAACCTACTTAGCCACAGCACTAGACAATATTTCTATTTTTTTTTTTTGTGTGTGTGTGTGACAGGCAGAGTTAGACAGTGAGAGAGAGAGAGATAGAGAGAAAGGTCTTCCTTCTGTTGGTTCACCCCTCAGATGGCTGCTACAGCCGACACTGCGCTGATCCGAAGCCAGGAGCCAGGTGCTTCCTCCTGGTCTCCCATGCGGGTGCAGGGCCCAAGCACTTGGGCCATCTTCCACTGCCTTCCTGGGCCACAGCAGAGAGCTGGACTGGAAGAGGAGCAACCGGGACAGAACCGGTGCCCCAACCGGAACTAGAACCTGGAGTGCCGGTACCACAGGCAGAGGATTAGCCTAGTGAGCTGTGGTGCCTGCCAATATTTCTATTTTTAAAAGCCTATTTTTTAAGGCTGGCGCCACGTCTCACTAGGCTAATCCTCCACCTAGTGGCGCCGGCACACCGGGTTCTAGTCCTGGTCGGGGCGCCGGATTCTGTCCCGGTTGCCCCTCTTCCAGTCCAGCTCTCTGCTGTGGCCAGGGAGTGCAGTGGAGGATGGCCCAAGTGCTTGGGCCCTGCACCCCATGGGAGACCAGGAGAAACACCTGGCTCCTGCCTTCGCATCAGCGCGGTGCGCCAGCCACAGCGCGCCGGCCGCGGCGGCCATTGGAGGGTGAACCAACGGCAAAAGGAAGACCTTTCTCTCTGTCTGTCTCTCTCTCTCACTGTCCACTCTGCCTGTCAAAAAAAAAAAAGCCTATTTTTAAAAATTGATTTGAAAGGCAGTGCAAGATAATGAGAGAGAATGAGGAAGGAAAGGAGAGAGAGAGCGAGAGAGAGAGAGAGAGCTTCAAAACAGGAATCCCTGGGGACAATCCACAGAAACCATATCCAAGCCATAGTATCCATCACTAGGAAAGTGTTCATCAAAGTAAAAAGGGACACCCGTTCTCACTTCTCATTACCACAGGTATAGCTAGAGCAAAGAAAAAGGAAAAAAAGGGGAAGAATGAAAGTATTTTTCTTTTGGCATTTGAAATGGGGTATCTTCAAAAATGTAAGGAGAGCATTCAAAAATTTAAACAAAAATTTAGTTTAAAATGAAGCAAAATCATAGCAGTTCCTCAAAAAATGGCAGTTCCTCCAGTTAAAGACAGAACTATGTAATATCCAGGGATTTCATTTCTGGGTATAGACAGCAGAGTATGGAAAGCAGGATCTAGAAGGTAGTTTGTATACACACACGTTCACGGTGGCATTGCTCATATTAGCCAAGAGGTGGGAGTTACCCAAGTGTGCACAGCTGGATGAAGGGGTAAGCGAAAGGTGTTCTGTCTTGAAAGGAGAGACTGTAGGTCTGATGACAAAGGCAGCCTCATACAGAGACAGTGCAGGAAAACAGGCTCGGTGGGGGGGGGGGTGTGTCCCAGGGGAGTAAGGTGCTTTGGAGAAGCTGGGGTGCAGGGAGTCTGCTGTCCATTATCTGGGCTGCATCTGAAGGTGTTCTGGGAGAGGGCGACATGCTGGTGATGAAGATGATGGTGGCGACATGATGATGATAGTGATAGTGGTGATGATGGTGATGGTGATGATGCTGTTGGTGAGGAGGATCAGGATGATGATGGTGGATCTGGTGATTATGGTGATGAGATCCGGTGATTGTGGTGATGGGAATAGTGATGAGATCTGGGGGTTGTGGTGATGGGAATGGTGATGAGATCTGGGGGTTGTGGTGATGGGAATGGTGATGAGATCTGGGGTTGTGGTGATGGGAATGGTGATGAGATCTGGGGGTTGTGGTGGTGGGAATGGTGATGAGATCTGGGGTCGTGGTGATGGGAATGGTGATGACGAGATCTGGGGTTGTGGTGATGGGAATGGTGATGATGAGATCTGGGGGTTGTGGTGATGGGAATGGTGATGATGAGATCTGGTGATTGTCGTGACGGGAATGGTGATGATGAGATCTGGGGGTCGTGGTGGTGGGAATGGTGATGATGAGATCTGGGGGTTGTGGTGGTGGGAATGGTGATGATGAGATCTGGTGATTGTCGTGACGGGAATGGTGATGATGAGATCTGGGGTTGTGGTGATGAGCATGGTGAAGATGATAATGTTGACATTGCTGCTGCTGATTATGAATAAGAATCATGATGTGTTCATGACAGTGATGCTGGTGGGTATTGATGAGGATGAGGAGTTGCAAACAGTGAGAATGATGGTGGTGGTGGTGTAGATGAACGTGCTGCAGCTGTTGCTGACAGTGATGACAGAATAATTATGACAGGGATTGTGATGGTAGTGAGAAGAGGATAATGATGAAGAGAGGAGCAGGAGTTTGGCGATGATGGTGAGGAGGAGGAGGATGCTGGTGATGAAGAACAAAGGTGATGAGGATGACAACTGGGAGATGACGATGTTGGTGAAGAAGATAACGACAGTGAGGAGGATGATGGCAGTGAGGATGATGATGAGATCTGGGTGAGGTGATGACGGTGGTGATGAAGGCACGGTGGCAGTAATGATGAAGACATAGATGTGCCGACAGAGATGCTGAAGGACATGGTGATGATGATGATGATGGGGCCAGTACCATCACCACCCAGGAATGCAGAGGAGAGACGAGGAGGCAGGAAACAGATGGAAGTGAAGTGGAAGCAACACAGGACTCAAAGTGAGATCCACCTTTGCTCTGCCACCTGTTTACCAGGTAGCCCTGGGGAAACCCATCACCCCCATGCCACCCGTGTCTTCTCTTTGTCAGCAGGGTTCCCGAGGATGAAACAATGGGCACTAGATGCCTGCACCCAGCGGTTGCCAGGTCAGTTCCCTGTGCTCCCCACTGCCACATAGGCTCACACCCCAGCCTGAGAGAGAGAGTCCAGGGGCTGGACTTTCCTCTTGCTGACTGGTCAGGTGACAGTGCCAGTTGCTGAGGGACACTCTACTGCTGCCAGGAGACCAGGAGCCCCTGTTTCGATCTTCTACCACCTGGCTGCCGGCTGCCTGTGGGAGCCCCTGCCGCGGGAGTGTCAGCCATCACTGCCTTGCCTGCTGCCACTGCCTGGAACCCTGAGCCTCCACCTGATGCCACTGTGAGTAACTCCTCTGGGGGACACAGCCACAGGGACTCCATATGCCCTGGGAAAGATGGCTTTTGCTTTCACATTTAGATCCATGAAACACTTTTGCATTGAATTTTAAGATTTATTTATTTGAAATGCAGAGACAAAGAGGAAGAGATGATAGATTAGATAGATAGATAGATAGATAGATAGACAGACAGATCTATTGGTTCACTCCCCAAACAGCCTCAATGAGCAGAGCTGAGCCAATCCGAAGCCATGAGCCAGGAGCTTCCTCTGGGCCACGTAAGTGGGTGCAGGGGCTTAAGCCCTTGGGCCATCTTCCACTGCTTTCCCAGGTGCCTTAGCAGGGAGCTGGATGGAAGTAGAGCAGCTGGGACTTGAACCAGTGCCCATATGGGAAGCTGGTTCCACAGTCTTATTGCTAGGAACTAGGACTACGGGGCTGTGAGCCTGGTCACCCTTGGACCAGGTGCGGCTCATGAGATGGGGCCAGGCAGGAGGGCGCTGAGCATACTCAACTCCCTCCCAGAGCACATGGGGCAGACCCAGCCATGGTGACGCAGTGTGCATGTGTGTGTGCATGTCTCTCTGTGTGTGTATGTATGAGAGAGACTCACCCTTCTCACTTGAGTCCATGTGGGACACTCGGCAGTCACCACACAGTCTGAGCTGACTCTAGTTTGTCCCTCTGGGGTAGGGGCTTGTCTCCCTCAGGAGCAAGAGTCTGGCAGGCAGACACTTCCCAGGAGCTAAGGGGAAAGAGCAGGGTGGGAAGGGAGGGGCGGGGTCAGGCTCCCAGGCAGCTGGGACACCTGGCTTTGTCTGCACTGTAGCTGGTGGGGGGCACTGGGGCAGCAGGGTGAGGGCTGTGACTCAGGTGAGCACCTGCTCTCTCTGCAGCTGTGGCCTTCTCCCCACCCCTCCCCCCTCTGTGCTCCACTTTCCTTATCTGTGACATAGGAGTCCATTCACACTGACCTGGTGAAATCCACAGGGAACAGACTCAGCCCTGGGCACAGCAGGAGGAAACCACCAATCCCCAAGAGCCTTCTGCAGTGAGAAGGCAGTGGAGCACACACTGCCTGCAGGCCTCGGCCTCATGATCCCACAGAAACACGAGGACGCTCCTGAAGCTGACCTGATGGATTGCAGGCGGGGCACTGAGTTTCCCAGATCTGCCCGGAACTCAGTTCCATGTGGGGAAGCACAGTGCACACCCTGCTGAGAGCCAACCAGACAGGTGTGGGGACGGGGTGAGCGAGCTCCATTTCACACGGCTGCTCCTCTCGGGCTGCTTAGCCTGCCCCCCCTTTGGAGGAGAGGTGCTGCAGGGCCTCGGAGGGGCAGTTCCACACCAGGGGCCTGAGACAGAACGTGTGCACCTGCTGGGAAGCTCGGGGCGGGGCGGGGGGTGAACTGACTCGTGGCCTCCTGCGCACCATGGGCTGGCTAGCCCCTGGGCAGCTCAGCAGCGAGAAGCAATACCTCCCTGGGACTTGGGGACGTCAGGGTGCCCGTGTCTGTGCCACACTGACTCTGCCTTCCCGTGGAGCGGCCCGGCTGGGGCTTGGCTGGCCCTGAGCCCTCTCCTGCAGGGGGGCCCAGGCACTGACACAGAAGGCTCAGAAACGCGAGTGAGAGAAGCTTCTTGAGTTGGTTTACTTTGGGTGGCTTCAGATGGATGGAAGAACCCGAGATGGAACCACGTGCGGAGGTGCAGCGCTCTGCGTGGGGGCTCCGGGGCGGCTGGGACGGGCCCGTCACCGACTCTGCAGGAGAATCAGCAGCAGCAGAGTTGCAGACGACAGCAGGACCAGGAAGACCCTGGGCTTGGGGACAGTGCCCTTGTTGGGATTCATGCTTGTCAGCGCAGGGGCCTTTTCCTCTGCCGGGGCCGTAGCAGGGTCAGCATTGGGTGTTTTTGCCTGGTTGTCCTTGATCCAGTCGTGGAAGTAGGAGATTTTGGAGAAGACGCTGGGGCCGATGGGTGGGAAGCACGGAGCGCTCCAGCTGGTCACCCCAATCAGGTACCAGGCGGAGTTCAAGAAGCAGACCAAGGGGCCCCCAGAGTCTCCCTGAGCAGAAAGTGCAGGGTTAGCGGGGATGGAAGCAGCAAGCTGTGTGCATTGCTGTGGCCCTGCTCTACTAGGGCGTGTGGGTCTCAAGATGGCTCCACGTCTCTCTTTCTTCTATGCAGGTTGACATCAAAACCACCTGAGTGAGGACAACCCCCTGGCCACCACACAGAGGGCAGACCTGAGAGCCCCAACCCACGAAGCTCCTGCAAGCTGGCAGTTACCGACCTACGAGGACACACAGGGGAGCCCCGAGGAGCAGGAGGGCTGTTCCAGTCTCCCTACACTGCCCCTCCCCTGCCCACACACACACACAGGAAGAAGGCACAGCTCTGAGGCCCAGCTGATTCCATACCCAGCCTTGTAACCCAACCTGTGCCTTTGCTGGTGACCTAACAAGGACTCCAGTGTTTTCCTCAACTCCCTATTTGAACTTCTTTGGAAAGTGCCCGGCTGTTAGATGTGAGGAGGGCGAGGAGGTGCTGCTTGGGGGTGGGAGCTGGGTAGGCCCCCCAGAAGAGGTGTGGAACCACAGGTATGGCTGGGCGGGAGGTAGGAAGGTGTCGGCCACTGTGGTGAAAGACTCATGACATCTCATGACAACAGTGGGGCCTGAGCAAGCACAACAAGGCAGCCATGTCTTAACACCACTGAGCAGCTTCCGCCTGCAGGGAGTGACGTCCAGGTGGACACAGCCAGCAGATGATATGTGAGACAGAGGCCTAAAGGGCACAGAGTGCCCCAGAGAGGGTGCTGGACCTGTGCCATCGGAGACCATCCCGGAGGGAGGAGTGGGCTTTTTTTTTGCAGCCAGCAGAGGAATAGTGTACAGAGATCTGTAGCAGGGAGCCAGGGGACCTGACATAGATTCCAAAAGGGTGTGCAGGCACTGATGGGGCCGAGCCAGCGGCCAGCATGTGACTGCTGCAGAAGGGGTGGCAGTAGCTGGCAGGAAACAGTGAACACTCAGGATGTGTGTGAGTTGTGGCATCTCTGAACCTTTCTGTAAGACACAAATGCAAGGCAAGTGAGAAAGAGGGCCCAAAGCAAAAGATGCAGCAAAGAGCACACACATTGCCTGTAGGGGGCACTGTGTCCGGCCTGATGGAGCCAGGGAAGAACACGAAAAAGAAGGAAGAAAGATTGGAAGGCTGGCCGAGCTCTGCTGGCGGAGCAGATGGAGAACCAGCATTAGCGCAGAGTTGTGGGGAGCAGGGATAGTACATCTCTAAGCTGTGCAAAGAGAGAGGAGCAGCAAGGGCCAAGGCGTAAGCAAGGGAGAGGTGGATGCAGGAGGCTGCCTGGAGGAGGGGACACAGCCCCCAGGGAGGCCAAGTCCTGTCTAAGCTTGACCATGGCCTTGCTCACTTGCTCCCTGGGCCTGCATTTCTCCACCATGAGATGGAAAGATTACACAGAATGGGCTGGGGAGATGTCTGTGATACGTATATCCAATAATGGGCTCACGTCCACAATCTATAATGAGCTCTTCAGATTCAAGATGGAAGACACACAGCCCCATGGTTTGAGACAGAATACTATGCATGGAAGCTTTTTCTGAAAAAGGTAATAAACACAAGTGCTTGTCCTCACGAGTCACCAGACCAAAGCAAACTGGAAACCACACCCCGTAGTGAAAACAAAAAATTGCAGATAACCTGAGTGGGGGGTGGTGGTGACACAGAACAACCCAAGCCCTCACTCGCTGAGGATGGGAGTGCAAACTGGTAGGATCAAGTTAAGGAGATGCTTGGGTGCTGTATGAAAGATGAACAAGCGGACATCTCCCAGCATGGGAGGTCTGAGCTGCCAGGGTGACTGTGATCCCAAAGGTAATTCATGGGCACTAACACACACCCACTAGGGTGTTCATGATGGTGCTACTTGCAGAGTGCTGGGCACGGGGCTTCAGAAGCCTAGGCAGGGCTGTTTTGGGGGGGTGACTGAGAGGACGTGGGCATGAATGGGACCCTCAGATGCTGTGTTCAGGAGCATGTTAACCCCTGACATCCAGCACACAGAACACTTGGAAACTATGCTTTTCTGTGCATATGGCACGCTTTGACAACCTTTTCCTAAAGAAACAGGGTGGGATGGATGGGTGTCCTTAAAGAGATTCTCTCTTGGCATCTGCCACCTCCCATGGGGTGGGCTCAGGCAGATGTACACAGGGTCCAGAGAAGACCCAGAGGGAGGGGATAAGGCCCAGGAGCAGAGGGTGGCCAAGCTTTGCCCCAGACCGCGAGCCAGCCCCCCTTACTCGGCAGATGGACGGAGGATTGCGGAAGTCCGCAGCGCATATCATCTCATCATGTACGCGAGCAACTTCGGATGGGTCGACGTCAGGTGGTGGTGTGAAAAAGGAGTCACACAAGTCATTTTCCATGATGAAGAGCTTAGCCTGCTGCAGCTGGAAGGGCCGTGGTAGGAATGCTGCGGGAGTGGGGAGAGCACAGATGTGAGAGCAGCCAGCGACGCCTCTCCCTATAACACCTCTTCTCTTGACATCAGCTTCTGCCTCTGCCACCTGCTTTGCTCTGTGACATCTGCTTCTCCCTGATACCCACTTCTCTCTGGGACACCTGCTTCTCCCTCTGACACCTACTTCTCCCTCTGGCACCTGCCTGACAGTGGAAGGCACCCACTCCAGCACACAGGACTGTCTACTCTGAGTCCAGGTCAGGGACACAGATGCTGGGCCACCTGCGCTGGCTGGAGCAGAGGCAGAGCTGACAGGTGCCAGGCGGGCTGGGTAGCATGACAGACGTGACTGCCCTGCCTAGGAACAAGTGATCTGTGGACACTGTGATTCTGTTTCCAGAGGCCACCCCCGATCTGGCCTGGGTCCTCCGGTGGAGCACAGTGTCACAGCGATGGCTCACACCTGTGCGCCACTGGCTGTGTGCGAGTTTCACAGGGCTGTTGTGTGGGGCAGACCCCAGCTCTGGGTGCAGCCTTGTCCGGGGGAGGGCATGCACAGGGAAGGAACGGCAGGCCCAGTGTCTCCTTGCTGTCAGCTGCTCCCTGCCCTGGTGGCTTCCCTGCCCACGACTTCCCTGGGAGCGCCAGCTCCTGCAGTGTGCCGTGCCTTGGAGAATCCTTGCCCTGCTGGTGGTTCTTGGTGAGGGGCCCTCTCGGGAGGGTGTCTTTGGAAATGTAGAAGGACCAGCTGTTCTAGTGACTGGGCAGTGTGACCAACACTGGGTGTCTGACTCTGGCCCACAAATCAAAGAAATTCCTGCTTTGAAATTATTCACTGGAATCTTCTACCACATCAAGACTGTCCTGGTCATGCCAATGTTGCATCCTACTCTGGAGTCATTCACCAGTATATTTTACTCCATCACCAGCATTCGCCCCTGTGTGAAAATCTTCGCCTAACATTTCTTTCTCTCCATAGAGAGGGTCCGTGACTCCCGCAGATGCAGACTCTACACATTGTATTCAGTGGTGCATTATACAAGTGCCTTGTATACAGTGATGCAGTGTTGGCAGAGCCTGTACCATCCTCTTTAGTCGTCTGTTTCATCTCCAAGCTTCTTTTACCGAAGCGACAGTGCCACTGCTCTGCAAACAGTCATTATATTGCACTGTTAGTGGAGTAATGAGGGGTCCGTGCAGAACCCTGGAATCTTGAATATCTCAGAGCCCACCTTCCTGATTTTGGGAGCTGGATGTGGCATGGACTTTCTGGTTCCTGGGCTGAAGGTCTCATGGGGTTTGAGGAGGACTGGGAGAGTCCACGGTGATGGCCCTCCCCCTGTCCCTCAGTGCCTACCCTGAGCTGCTCACCATCCTCCGTGAGCATCCCCCAGCCACTGATCCAGCAGGCGGTATCAACGTGGAGCGAAAAGTTGGCCTTCGGGACGCAGGCGGGGAGCACGTGAGAGTTGAAGTCCGCCTGCAAGTGCAGTTGCAAGAGGGCAATGTCGCTCCCAAAGCGGTGAAACTTATCATAGTCCTTGTGGACGAAGAGCTTGTTCACGGTCATCTGCCGGCTGAAGCTGGTGGGATTACTCAGCTGGTTGTACCCTAGCAGGATGCGGTAGTCCCCTGGGGTTTTGGACCTGTTGAAAGAGTGCCCCTCTGAGTTCTGGGCTGGCACCTGCACCCTCGCTGCCCTCCCTACTTCCAGTCAGAGCAGAGTCCCATCCCAGGGGCTCAGTCTCCTCCCTCCCTCGGATGGGACAGCCCAGGACGTCTGTCCAGGGAGGGACACTTTCTCCATGCTGCCTCTCCCAGCGAGCCCCAGATCTAAGCCACAGCCATTCTTGTTGCCAGAAAGAGACCTCTGGGGGTGTCCGACTGCACCCTTCTTGGAGGAGCACAGCCTTGGCTCGCTCCCAGCCCTGTGCAGTCCTTAAAGCCCCCCAGGGGCCAGCATGCTGCTTCCCCCACTTCCCAGGTCCTCTCTCCTCAGCTGTTCTGAAGGCTGCCCCCACCTGGGGCCAGGCACCCCCTAGGTGTTTGTGGGACAGATGGAAGGGTGCTTCTCCTTGTTCCTGGGCCCTGAGCCACTGCTGGTGCAGCACCCCCACTCGGACTCCGCATGGCCAAATCCTGTTCCCCCAGGGCCTTTCTAGCTTTAAGCCCTGGCTCTGATTGGACTCCTGGCCTTTCCCAGATCACCAAGATGGTGAGGCTTCGGCCTTGCTTTCCTGGTTGGATGAGAAGCTTCAGATGGGTCTTGTATCTCTACACCCCGCCCTCTTCCTCCTCACTGTCAGCCTTACATGGGACCTGGCACAGGTGGGTGCTGAATCAATGAACAGAACCTACATGGTGTCCAAAAGCCAGCTGTGCCCAGTGCTCTGGCTTCCGGTGTTGGAGGCTGATGTGTTTCCCACTCTGGGTACGGAGTGAATCCAGGGCACATGTGAGAATTGAACCAGTCCAGCCAGGACATCCCCAGGACAGAGCCCATTGGCTTCACCCCTCACTCGGGCAGCAGCACAGACCAGGACATCAGCTAGCAGCACAATATCCCAGAGAAAACCAGCAAGGACAAGGCCATAGCCCCTACTACTCCTTGCTTCCTGCCCCCTGGTGCTTCTCTCTCTCCTGCCACCCTTCCCAGCAGCGGCTGGTCCCAAGGAGGGGAGACGCACCTTTGGAAGCAGTGAGCGGCAGAGACTACCCAGTTGCTGGCGATGAGGGCAGCTCCACAGATGTGCTGGCCTTTAAAAAGTAGACTGGCCTGCCATGGCCACCATTCTGGTTCTGCCTTCTGACCACCAAAGATCTTCCCGGTTTTGCCAGTCCTCCCGCATACTGTGGGGACAATGCCAGCCCTGAGGTCCCTGCTTCTGAGATGCTAGCCCTTGTTGTCCCCAGATGTCTCCATCACAGCACCCAGGGGGCTCCCCCACCCCCAACCCCTGGGCTCTCTTCCCAGGTGGGGAACATACAAGGCTCAGGCTGAAGTGACACAGCCCATGTGACAATGCACTGCCTGGGTGGCCAGGTGGCAGGGCGCACAGCAGCCCAAGGCCCCCTCTCAGGGGCAATGGCTCCACCGTGCAGAAGTCCACCCCAGGGGAGTCGTGGGGCCAGGGTTTTCTGTGCCTTTACCTCCCTGCAGGGGCACAGCCCTGGGTGCACGGCAGGACTTGAAGGGAGGACAGAAGTGGGATTACTGCATGCCCTCAGCCAGCTGGAGTTCTAGTGAGACTGAGGGCGGGGGGCAGTCACTCTCCCTGGCGGGTCCCCATTCCCAGGAAGAGGAGGTGAGGTTCCCGTGGGCGGGTGCAGAAACAACCTCAGCCTTTGGCCTGAGTTTTCAGACTCAACTGGAAGGGCACTCAGGAGCTTTAGAGGTGGTGGTGGGGTTAAGGCAGAGGAGGTTGAGGCAAAGTTGCTTCAGCCATCTTTCTAGTCACCTACCTCCCAGTGCAGCTACAGCCACACGTGGCGTGGCTCATCCTGGTTGATATTGTAGGGTGGAGGAGGAGAGGAGCGACAGAGGCAGGTGTCCCTGGACGCCCTGTCTGTCCATGGCAGCCCCAGCCCCTGCCCACTCACCGTCATCCAAGTTCTGGCTCTTCCTATTGGACGGGGTGACCTGGGCGCGCAGCGGTGGGAGGCGCAGCCAGAGCAAGAGGGCGGCCAGAGCGTAGGCTCCTTGCCAGCCTAGCCCTGAGCGCTTCCTCCTGTTGGCCCCCATCCCGCCCCTCTGTTTCTGCTTCTGCTTCCCCGAGGGAGTGGACGGTGTGCACGCGACCAACCGTGGGCAGCGGGGAAACCGCTTCCATCGGTGGTTGGTCTGAGGGCTCCAGGACCTCGCGGGCCGTGGGAGCAGTCACTACTGGGAGCCCCCATGCTGTGCGGTCCTCTGGGGAACCCGCCTCTGTTGGTCGATGGTTGATCCCGCTCCCCGGAGGAACGGGAGCAGGTCCCCAGCCCTGGTGTGACAGGTGTGCGTGGAGGCCCCGCCCAGCGGGCGGCAGTTCCGTGGGGGAGCTCCCAGGCTGATGGTGACTACGGCAGGGCCTCGCAGGCCCCAGTTGGGGCGGCTGTGGCGGATGCCTGGGTGTGTACAGTCCTGGTCAGCAGATACTTGTGTGATATCTCGTCCTTTCGATATAGTTTCCTCATCCACATGCTCACCTGCACCTGACAGCTGGCGTGCTTAGGCGAAGCTCCTGCAGGGTAGCATCAGGCCCCTCTCTCGCCCTCGCAGGCCGTGCAGCCTCCCCCACTCCGGGTAGGGCGAATTCCCTTGCTCATGGGTCCCTCCCACTCTCGTTGTTAGCGGCCCAGCGCTAACAATGGCTGGGCCGCTAGGAGTGGTTTGGAATTCTGTCCATCTCAGCTCAGCCTCCAGTGATTCACGGCTTTCCCAGGTCCAAAATGCGTGCACCACTTCCCCATTTTCCAGAATCCCACCCCGCAGTAGTGGTCCCTCACCGTTCCAAACCTCGCTGTCTAAACCCGGATGTGGTGAGTTCTCTTCTCCAGGTGTGCAGTTCTGTCCTCTCAGTGCGCTGAGTCAGGTGTGGATGAGATTCCTGGCTGAGAGCCCTCCGTGTGGGTATGAAAGTAAAGCGACTTCCTCCTGCAGCATCTTAGCATTTAGTGTGGGACAAGCAGAGGGGAAGAGGTGCAGACATTCAAAGAAAGGGAGGGGGAAAGGAAAAAGAAGTTACTGCCCCCAAACCATACTGTATATCCTGCTTGGCAAACTTCGTTAGCTTTTTTTTTTAAAATTAATTAATTTATTTGAAAGTCAGAGTTACACAGAGAGAAGGAGAGGCAGAGAGAGAGAGAGAGAGAGAGAGAGAGAGAGAGAGAGAGAGAGAGTCTTCCAGGTCTTCCATCTGCTTGGTTAGCTTTTTTTATGAAAGAGAGAGATATCTTTCATCCACTGGTTCACTTCTCAGATGGCCACAATGGTCAGGGCTGTGCCATGCGCCAGGAGCTTCTTCCAGGTCTCCCATATGGGTGCAGGAGCCCAAGCACTTGGATCATCTTCTGCTGCTTTCCCAGGCACATCAGCAGGGAACTGGATTGGAAGTGGAGCAGCTGGGACTCAAACCGATGCCCATAGGGGATGCCAGCACTGCAAGCCTCACCTGCTAGGCCACAGTGTTGGCCCCCTTCATTAGTTTTAATGCCTGTGAAAGAAAGAAGTCCCTGTGAGCCTCAGCTCCACCCCTAGGATTCCTGGCCAGCATTCCTGTCTATGGAAAGTTGCACCTGTTCACATCTGAGCCACTCTGGCAATTGGTTTCTGCAGGTAGACTTTTGGACATCTAAGTTCTTGATCTACTTTCTGTGTCTGTCAGTATAAGCTGGAAATGTTTTGCATGCTGGAAATGGCTCAAGGAACTTGAGGTTCCTGTCTGGATTTCCCAGGTTCCATTCATTAGAGGAAATCCCACCACAGATCTTTGGGAGAGATCCTTTCCCTGCTGTGGCCTCTCACCAACAATTGTCCCCTGAAACTCTTGTGAGGACATGCAAGCTCTTGAGGATGGGGCTGACTACTTCTTGGTCTTTCCAGTGGCCTTAACCGTAGCTGTAGGGTCTCATGCTCAGCCTGTTCTCTACCCCAGGGCTTTGGCGGCTGTCTCTGACTTTAGCATCATTTGACCTCTGGGGAGGATGAGAACTTCCAGAATCAGCAGTCTTTTGCTCCTTTGTGTGTAACAGAAGCCCTTCCCTCCATGGAGCTCACTCCTTCTCACATTTTGCTATAGGCAGAAAGAAGAAACCAGGGAGCACCTTCAACACTCTGCGTAGAATCCTCCTCAGCCACACATGCAAATGTGTCGCTGACAGTTTGCATGCACAGCTGTGGTGCAGGATTTCTCCCAGGCCCTGCTTTCCTGCATGAACAGTAACGTGGTCCCCGCTTCCTTCTGAGTCCTCTGTAATATCAGCCTCAGGGTCCAGATCCCTATAAAGGCTGCCCAAGAAAACCAAATCTTCCTCTAAGATGACGTACGGTTCTTCCCGATGTCCCTCAAAATTCTTCCACCTTCACCCAAGGTCCTGTTCCAAAGCCCCAGGTCCATTTTTGGATATTTGTTATGGCAGTACCTCATTTCTGGAATCCAAGTTTCTATTCATTTTGTGGAATTATATTTATTAGCACACAGTATTCGTGAGTGAGAAGTCTGCCATGGCTCGGTGGGTTGCCTGTTGATGCTCTCATGCTCTCTCGAGGCTCTGGGAAAGAATTTCTTCCTAAGTGCATTTAGGTCATTGACAAACTTTGGTTTCTTGTAGTGATATGACTGAGGTGCCTGTTGGGTTCCACTCTCAGCTGACTGACTTCGCCAGTCTTCTCACTGTCGCAGTTCGCGCCTGTGGAGCTGGCAATAGGATCTGCTGCATCAGGCTTTGAATCTCCTTCCCAGATCCAAAGTGTGTACACCACATCCGAGTTTCCCAGAATCCCACCCCATGGTAGTGGTCCCTCACTGTTCTAAACCCCGCCGTCTAAACCCAGATGTGGTGAGTTCTCTTCTCCAGGTGTGCAGTCCCGCCCGGCCTCTCAGTGCTCTGAGTCAGGTGTGGATGAGATTCCTGGCTGCGAGCACAGTTCTGCCCTTTGGATAGGAAAGTAAAGTGAATTCGGGCTGCAGCATCTTAGCTAGATTCTTGTAGGTCCTGATATAAAGGACACATATGATTGAGTCATGCTTGCTAAAGATAATCATCCTCTCTTCTTTCTTTTTTTAATCACCTCTTTTTTTTTTTTAAATATTTATTTATTTGAAAGTCAGAGTTAACACACAGAGAGAAGGAGAGCAGAGTCAGAAAGGTCCTACATCTGCTGGTTCACTCCCCAGTTGGCCACAATGGCTCGAACTGTGCCGATCTGAAGCCAGGAGCCAGGAGCTTCTTCTGGGTCTCCCATATGGATGCAGGGGTTCAAGCACTTGGGCCATCTTCTACTGCCTTCCCAGGCCATAATAGAGAGCTGGATCAGAAGTGGTGTAGCTGGGATTTGAATTGGGGCTCATATAGGATGCCGGCACTGCAGGCAGTGGCTTTACCTGCTACACCACAGTGCTGGCCCCAAATCACCCTTTCTTAAACCATTCTCTCTCTCTCTCTTTCTCTCTCTCTCTCTTTCATACATACAGACCCACACATGTTGATTTTGGAGGTGGGGGGAGAGAGCAAGAGAAGACAGCACTCCCATAAGCTTGTTAACTCCTCAAGTGCCTGCAATGGCCAGGGTTAGGTCTAGAACAAAGCCAGGAGCCTGGAATCCAATCCAGACCTTCCACCTGGGTGGCAGGGACCCAGTGTCTTTAGCCATCACTACTGCCTCCCAGAGTCCAACATGGGATGAGGGTGTCTTCACCAGTAGGCTAAGTACCTGGCACTGATCTGCCTTTCATGAGGTGCCATCTTACTACATCTAGTGAAGACAGCAACAGCCCATCATGTCCACAGTCCCGCCCATCCTCAGGGGAGGGATGATGTGAGCTGTGGCTCACCGAGGACTGTGCAAGGCACAGTCTCCGGTGGTTCAGATGCTGTGAGTGCACCCCGCTTCTGGCAGAAGCAGCAGAAAAGTGAGTTGACAATCTTAGTATACTGTGAAGGGACCCAGAATGACCTGACATACAAGGTCTTCAAGGTGAAATGTGGAACCCTGCGTGTTCTTCTTGCATTATCTACTTTCAAAAGTACTTGGTCTTTTTTATATGAAATGACTTTTTTCTTCACTTTTTCTTGCCATTTCCTGTTTCATTTTTTAATTTTAAAAAAGATTTATTTATTTGAAACTCAAAGGGGGGAGAAAGAGAGAGAGAGAGAGAGAGAGAGAGAGAGAGAGAATGTTCCATTTGGTGGTTCACTCCCTAAATGGCCACAGTGACCATGGCTGGGACAGACTGAGGCTGTGGAGGAACTCCGTGTGGGTCTCCCACATGGTGGCAGGGGTCTTAGCACTTGGACCATCTTCTGTTGCTTTCCCAGGTGTAGTAGCTGGGAGCTTGGTGGGAGATGGAGCAGCCAGGACCTGAACTAATGTTCATTTTTAAATGACACATGACTAACAAGAGAGACTATTTTAGAGCACCCGAGGCTCCATCTTGAGAAAGCACTCACCCCACCAATGTGAGACTATGGTCTGAAACTTGCTATGGTCTAAAACTAGGACAATAACAGTACACTGCATCCTGCTTGGCAGAACATAGAAACTCCCTAGCATGCTCGCTCAAGCTTAAAAGAGATAGGCTGCACCTGAATTAAAGTGAAGATTGTGATTTGTCTGTGTCCCACATATGATTTAGGTCGGTTCCTGGACTAATGTCAAAATTATAATTGGTATTGTCAAGACTGTAATTAATATTAGTTTTGCATAGGCCTTAGGTCAACTTGACTCTAGCAACCATGCATCCCTCCCTTCCCCCATCCTAGCAACTATGTATGCCCCCTCCCCTCTTTGTGGTTTTTGCTTTTATAAACCCTGCTGCTTTGAGCTTCAAGGTTGAGAGTTTCTTAGGGAATGAGCCTGCTCTCCACACTGTCAATAAAGGACCATCGAATTTTTAAAAAAGATTTATTTATTTATTTTAATTTTTTTTCTTTTTGATTTATTTACTTATTTGAAAGTCACAGTTACACAGAGAGAGAAGGAGAGGCAGGGAGAGAGAGAGAGAAAGTCTTCCATCCGCTGGTTCACTCCCCAATTGGCTGCAATGGCCGGAGCTGCGCCGATCTGAAGCCAGGAACCAGGAGCTTCTTCCTGGTCTCCCACACAAGTGCAGGGGCCCAAGGACTTGGGCCATCTTCCACTGCTTTCCCAGGCCATAGCAGAGAGCTAGATTGGAAGTAGAGCAGCCGGGTCTGGAACCAGCACCCATGTGGTATGGCCACAGCGCTGGC